TCTGTAACATACCTTCTCCTGTGCACTGTTTTTCTCGAATTATAGAGGAACACAGTGCATATACAGGTGTGCTTATTTGGGAGATCTAAATGGCAGTTCCAGTGTGTTCTCATTAACTATCAAAATCCGACTGTGTTCCTCTCCACGGTGGGCCAGCAGTGCCAAACAAACTGCATATGTTAATGCATAGGCGCGATTTCAGGCCCCCGTCCTCTTCCAGTCTCCTAGCCAGGAATATTCATTGTTTATATCTCTAAAATTTCTACAACATTTATTAAGTACGAATCTGACCCTGTTAGGAAAATGAGAAAAAAAGTCGATTCTGTTCTGATTTGTAGAAATTCGCTAGTGCTAAGCGATAGTAAAAGGATAGAGCGATGGCTGCTTTTCTGGCTGGGCTCACAATCCGAAAATAAAACCCAACAGAATCATGCTTTTCTCGCCAAAACAGTTTTTTAAGGGTCGGTATGTTGCGCTACTCGTACATTTTACATCAAATCCACTTCTAATCGACATCCTGAACAACCTTTACGACAAAGAATCGCAAGAGCGATAAGGACAAAAACGAAAGCTAGGAAACACAGATATAAATAAGCTCCCGAATAACCCGAAATATTTTTCGAACAGGAAAGTGTATTGCATTTGAAGTTTGGAAAGCACGGGGAAAATTTCCAAGAAAAACCATTTTTCGCAGAAAAATATAAGAAAGAAAATGCTTTGGGAAAACGGTAGCCGTCACACATGGGGACTGTTCCCTTTGTGTGAATAAAGCAGTGCACGGATCCAGGAAGTTTTGGGAAGCCCAGAGATCCACAAATCAACTCTTTAAACTAAGGAGCCGCAAATTGACAGGCTGAGTGATCCTGGCAGAATTTTACCTACACTTTTAGAGCAATTACCCCCCAGCAGTCCCTTATGACAGTATGATACTGACCAGAAGTTTCAGCTGCCCATCTTCCCTCGAAAATATGGCAGAGTCAAGATCCACCCTCTCACCCTTAAAACTTAAGGAGTTCAGTTATTAAGAATTTTCTTTGCTTTGTACAGGCTGTTACATCAGAAGGTA